TTATGTGGGTCTTAGCAGAGTTAAAACCATAGAAGGATTACATATAACTAATCTTTGTGAAAAGAAAATAGCTGTCAGTCCTGATGTACAAACAGAAATGAGACGGTTCTGAAATTCAGGTCTAAGTCTGTCAGTATCTCCTCTTTATAGTAAAAGTCCACTTTCTTTAAAAAAATATGCTATCTTAATGCAAGGTCATTACACAAACATATAGATGATATACGTAAAGATCTCAACTACTCAAACACTGACATAAGCATTTTTTCAGAAACAAGATTTACTCATTCAGATCATGATAGCATGTATGCCATTGATGGATATAGTTTGTTTAGAAATGACTGTGACTCTAATAACACTACAAGACCGTTTGGAGGTACAGCAGTATACAGCAGAATCCAATTAATTCCTGGCTCTCCTTATTGTTTAAATAGGAATGGTGTTGAGCTGACTATCATTAAATGCATGTATCTACCTCATCTCACCATTATTGGTGTGTATCGATCCCCAAAAGTGCCAGTAACACAATTGTGTATTGCATTAAGACAGGTACTTTTACATACAACTACACAGTACAATATTTTCCTTGGAGATTTTAATGTAAACTGGTTAAATCAAACTGATAGAGTTCCATTATATAATCTATTTATTACAGAAAATAACTACAGACAGTTAGTATCTTTGTATACCACTGACAGCAAAACAGCTATAGACCACATTTATACTAACCTGCCAGAATCTCAGGCAAAGTTACACTTGTTAGAAACTTATTTTTCAGACCACAAAACAATATGTGCGTTAATAAACTATGTCAATACAGAAACATAACTTCAATTCAAACTTTTCTTGCCTGTTATACAGATAAGGACACAACCACACCTAGATGTAATACAATCCATACTAAAAGATGACTACATAATCATAATAATCACTACAAAGATTCAGTAATTTCTATAACTCCTTCATCCCTGTACCCTCCCTCTCCCCTAACAGTAATCATCAGGTAAATATCCACTATATTTCAGTAATTATATACTCAAAGGATTGGTTTAGCTTATATTGTGTCCTTTATTTTTTATAGGCAATAATCCTTTATTTATTAATAGTCTTCTCTTTTTTTCAGTCATGGATGATTTCTCAAAGCAAACAGCTACTCACAGCACTGGTGCTCCTTCTTCAAGTCAAGAATTTGTGGGATACATACATAATGTTTCTGCTGTGTATAACGAAAAGTTTTTTCAATGCCAGTTGCAAGGGAGGGATGAATCAGTTACCCGAGCCGTGTGCTTCTCACCAAGTAAGCGCAAGATTTTTGCAGACTTTCAGGACAAGAAGAGCCCCATAAAAATTAAAAGGTTCAAAGTAGACACCAATGCAAACACCAGTGATCTGTTGATGGGACATGATGTCATAGTCGAACACTATCCAGAACTGGACTTCCAAAGATCACAAATACAATCTTCAACCACCCTTTTGTCAGTCAAATCTGTTCGAGTTGGCCAGCATATAACTGTAAAGGCCAAACTAACCAACATGTCCAAACAGCAAAAAGCAGGAGATTTAACTCTTGTGAACTGTATTCTGCTTGACCCTACAGCTTCAATGAAAATGGTATTGTGGGAGAATTTTATTAACCAAGTGGAAAACAACCAAACATATATCTTCCACAATGTAACTGTACGAAAGGACAAATACAATGAAACCATTTACTTAAACACTGCTAAATATGGCACTGAAATCAGACTCACAGAAGATTTTACTGAAATCCTAGCTGTGCCACTAACTCAGGACACTACACAATTTGTATCCACAACCGTCGAAGGAGAAATAATGGGAATAGTTTCCATCAACTCGTACTTCTCTTGCTTTAAGTGTAAAAAGAAACTAGAGCAATCTACTGGAGCAGCATATTTGGAGTGCAAAAATTGTCACATGAAGCAAAAAAACTTAAACCTGCATCTCAACACTGGTATGCTCAGGTAATGGTACAGTTCTCTGATGAGAAGTCCCTAGAACTAACATTGTTTGAGGAGCCAATCAAGCAGATACTGGCAATTCAAAACCAAAAAAGCCAGCCAACATTAACTCGGGACATTCTCACAAACAGTTTATTAAATCTTCCAGCAGTAAACTTCACATACAACACAACAACCAAAGTAGTCCTCAAGATTGCCCAAAAGGAGTAACTAACATGTAATTAACACATTTTGGTTAACATAGAAGTATATACTCTAGGATGTACACGTAGTTACATCTATCATTGCAGTTCTGTTTCGTTGAATTTTATTAGTACTGAGAATTGCTACAAAAACCAGTTTGGTTAACACAGTAGTATATACTCTAGGATGTACATGTAGTTACATCTATCATTGCAGTTCTGTTTCGTTGAATTTTATTAGTACTGAGAATTGCTACAAAAACCAGTTTGGTTAACACAGTAGTATATAATCTAGGATGTACATCTAGTTACATCTATCATTACAGTTCTGTTAAGTTTTGCTAGTACTGAGAATTGCTACAAAAACCAAAAAAACGGGTTTGGGTTAACATAATAGTAAGTTAAGAATTGCTACAAAAATAAACACGTTTTGGTTAACATAACAGTTCATACTCTAGGATGTACACATGTAGTTACATCTAAGATTGAAGTTCTGTTTAGTCACGTCACCACTGAAAATTGATACAAAAACCAGTTTTACAAAAAAAAAAAACATGTTAAAATTGTTCACTTAAACTTAATTCTAAAACAATGACGTGCAAACTACTGTTTACTATTCTTGTTTGTAATAACTCATGTTTCATACGTTTATTAAAATCTTTAAAATTAAAAAGTTTTCATTTGCCAATCATTGAGTCCTATTTTTTATAACAAACCAAGTCCATATTAACCTCTTGACTGCCTGCCAACATCTTTTCATATCCCTGTGCCAAGGCTCAGCAGACAGACACGCTTTACCTTACCTTCATCGTCTCATCATCATCATCAACTTTATTTGTTTAAGCAAGTTGTTATATTCGAGGTAAATAAAATCAAAATTTCAATCATCATACAGCTTCACAAAGCTTGCCATGATCGCTCGATATTCACCGTTTTCAATACATTACTATCCAAAGAACAGCCTATTTAAAACAATTATACTTTTAATACCTTTTCTTCTTCAGCAGTAGTCACATGCGCCAACAAGGCGCCTATTTTTATATTTTACCTTCCTGTGTGTTGCTTAGAGTAACATTTTGTGTAATTATTACTGTATCTCCACTCGAGACGCATTTTCTTAGACAACAAAACCTTGCTTAAAATTTGGTTTAATCCTGGGTTAAACTTAACCATCTTTCGAGGAACCGGGCCCTAGCGAATATTTTGCTTCTACCCGGCTTTTTCTTTGCGTCCCTGGTCTCCGTCTGATGTGAATTTTACATATTCGGGTTATAGAATTCACCCATGGCTTCAAATATGTCAAAGAAAAAAAAACCGTAAATCACAGCTTTCGTCTTGAATAATTATGGTCCCATTTTATAGGCATCAGAACTGCATTCTTGATGTGAACGGAACTGTATTGAATTAACTAATGCAAGTCAAAGTAAAGAGGAGTCGTCCTCGATAGATGAATGACATTCCAGAACAAGTTCCACATTCAACTTTAGCAAGCAAAGATAACATAAATTGCAGCTAATTAACTGATTTATTGAGAAGACTTTGTCTTTGTACCGAAAAACACAGCACATTAAATCATATGATGCACTTTAAGTGCTTAACAAATTCATCCAACCATTCATTTTCATGCCGGTACTTTTCTTGTATGAGAGAGACAATATAAATTTCTTAGTCCGTGTTCAAAAAAACTAACAAAAAAACAGTAAGATATCTAACTTTTTTTGCGAGCAAGCCATTACTAAGTTTGGTACCCCTAATTTGTAACAATTAAAATCACACCAATTTGAAGTTAAACAGCTTTCAATGTAAAAAGCTGTTACGTATCCTGTTGATTAAAATTCAAGCAAATTTATCTTCTTTTCCCATGGTTAAGACAGTTTGCTTCGTCGTCACCTTTTTTGGAACATATCTTATAAACAGGGTATAACCTATGCAAATATCCCAGTCAGCCATAGAATAAGCGCCAACCTACTTAAAAAAAAATGTCTACTCTTTTTAAATAATAATAAACTTCACATTGACTTTTGCAGGTTCCTACAAAAAGCCCTTACTTATTTATAACGCCATCTATCTTTTTTATAAATTGCTTAAGCTTAAAAATAGCCTAGACAAAACCACTTAAATTTTACCATTCAAATTTCTGAAATATTTTCAGGATACTTCCTTTTATCAACACCTGTACATAACAGCGCTGAAGCTTTCCGATCTTTAAGCACACAGGTCACGGGTAAACAACGCCATGTCCTCATTTACTCAACAAAATGCCAACATCAAAGAATACTGAAATGGCACGAAGCTAACAACGTTTCTCTGTAAAAACAACACTCCATCGCACGCCATTGAATGACGAAGGGCTTGTTGATAACACTTTTACAAAGAGAATTCAATGTATTCGAAACTGAAGAATTTTTAGAAGTATTTCTCTAAACTGCTCAAAAGAAGCTATTAGGCTGATTTAGCAACAGAACGGGAACGTCAGTTGACGACGGGAAAGCGCGCGGAAAGGACTGGACGTGCATGGATGGGACTTTCGGCTCTCAATTTGCCGCCCTGTCATTGGTCAAGAGTCAATATGTTCACGCGATATTGGACCAATCATGGGAGCTCTTACATAGAGGTGTCCACCTGTGAGATGTCCACTTCAATACTGTCTAGACACAAACCGATGCCCACCTTTAAAGGATGCAGGTGTTTAGTCGGTGTCCATTGTTCGTGGTTATGCCAATGATCTATGGGCGATAGACTTTCAACAGAGAGCGCCTTGTGTCATCTTCCGAACGTCGCCGCCTTGACTTGACGTCTACTTTTCATTTGCTAAGAGTTAATGCGCAGTTAATACCTAACAAGCTCATATGATGTTACAATTCTTATCGCACCTTTCCTTTCCTTTTACGTCATCCCCAGGATCAGAATTAATTGGTACAACAAAACTATTTCCATTCTGTGCAGCTTCACCCCTGTTCTCGCTACAGTTACCTAAGCCGCCACCACCTCTGTGTTGTTGTCCGTTTCCGACACTCCTTATTGATTGGTTTGATTCCGGTATCTGCATTTGATCATCACTGTCGGGAAAGGAGTTACCTCTCACAAATTTTTCTTTCCTGTGTGGCGCTTCCCTTGACGAACTTCTCCTTGAAGACGCGGTTGGATTCTTGAATTCACCAACTGCATTAGATGCTGCCGCTAAAGCATGATCTGATGGCGGCCGTGGACTACCAAACTGTTCAACTAGTCTGTTGCTTCGTTCATCAGCTCTATTTGTACGTGGAATGGTTGTCCTTGCTTCAGGCAGTTTGATATTATCTGAAGCAAAGGAAAATCAGAAAAGCCGATTCAAAAGTAGTTTGTTTGATCCCTCCCTCTAGGAATTTTGCTACAGTAAAACCTCGACATAACGAAGGGCTAATAGAGGGACTGGCAAAATTTGTTCGCTGCACTGAGAGGTTTTGTTACATCAAGCTTCGTTTTCAGATATTTTACTATTACGGATCATAATAGGTTTCTGGGAACTGCCCACCTCCATTGTACCCCTCCCCTAAACCAACATTAAAACTTACTTCTCACTTAGGGAAACATGTTGGCTTAGGGGAGGGGTAGGTGGGCAGTTCCACTATGGATACTGGGGTAAAGAAAACCGTTCGCTATACAAAGGACTACGTAATATAGAGGTTCCACTTCGTCACGAGTTCCACCGGATGAAGAAGCCCGAAGAACATCTGCGTGGGAGGTTACCTCCTTAAGAATAGCCTGCGTGCCGGGTAGGCGCAAAAAGGGGAGGGGAGGGGAAGGGAGAAAGAGGGTCCCTCTCTCCCCAATCCCCTCCCTTTTCTCCTTCTTCCCAATCCCCTACCCCTTTCGACTCCTGCTACAACAAGCTAGGCTATGAATGGTCCGCTGCCACATGGAAGGTAAGCTTACATACCCCCATCCTCGGAGACCCAGGGGCAGTCAGTCGCACCGGGAGAAAAGGAGCGACGAAAGTTTTCAAGCACAGGCGGAAAAGACCCAGGGTACTGACTCTCAGCGGACCATTTCCAAACGGTCAAGGGAACGCTGGCTTCTGATTGGGCACAAAAAATGCTTTGTATTATTGTGCCCAATCTGCGAACAGCATCTCCCGAGTTCTTTTCGTGAGTTCGTACACAACGGCTATAGACTCGATCACGGCTTGTCTGGCTCATGCACCAAAGAAATGCACGCTGTCAGGAGATTTTCAGTTTGATATAAACTCTCCATTTCAAAATACTGTCTACCCGAAAACTAAAGACGCTTTTCCAAAAACACAATCTTGAGCTTACAACAGGTATTCACGCTTGCATCAATCACGCCTTCGTAAATATTAGGGAGTTTTTTAAGCTGCCACGACAGCTGACAGCCACGAAAACGTCGCATAAAAAGTGAATTCACATTTTTGGCGTACTTTGTCAAACGCAAGCGAACTCTTCTGGAGCTGAATTTCTATCAACCATATCCAAGTTCATAAAGAGAAAGAAAATCTTGTCATTGCTTGTTTACTTCCTTCACAAAACGTGAAATTAGGCATTTTCACGTGGTAGTCGTGCAGTGACGGCAAAGCCAAATGCACAAAAAAAGAGTGATGCACGTGCAAAGTTGTTGTTTTGCCTTGTCAAGCTATTGCTTATTTTTACTTCTCGTCGCTGCTGCATCTTAAACTTACTGTTATTTACGACACATTGTGATCCGTCAAAAACAGAATTTTCTTAGTGCAAATTGAATTGCTCCTGCTGATAGCATTCGGAACGTTGTTCGACTCATCGGTAGTTCCTTCGTTTCTGGTTAGGAAAGCTTGGTGAACGAGCCGGGAAACTGTGGCGAGATAATAGGGAGCTTAAGCAACAACGACGGCGACGGCTACAAACACGTCACTTAAAAAGTGAATTTGCACCGCTTCAAACTTTATCGCGCTTATTCCATCTCGTTTACTTCGTCAAATGTTGGCAAATGTTTTTGGAGTTGAATTCTAAAGGACTGTATCAAAGTTCAGGAAAAGAAAAGAAAGTTGTTGTCTTGCGTTCCCGTCCTCGACAAAACGTGAATAGACCATTTTTCAGTTGTGGACTAAGCACCCTAGCCTTCGAGTGAATGTGAGGCTGACGGTGACCTTGTTTTGATACAAACCTCCTTTGCTCTGTTATGGAAATTGTACGTGAAAAATACTGGTTAGCATAAGAATAACTTGATTTACATGATAAAGCAGGAAAGTTTGTATCAAAACAAGGTCAACTCCAGCCTCGGTTCCATACATAACTGTAAAATGGCCTATTCAAGCACTTTCACGTCGTAGTCGGGCAACGACGGCAAAGAAATATGCAAAAAAAGCGTGATGCACGTGCAAAGTTGTTGTTTTGCTAATCAAACCTATTGCTTTTTTGCCGTTCTCGTTGCCGTTCGGGTCGTCGTTGCTTAAGCTCCCTAATAGCCGTCGTGTACGAACTCACAAAAAGAACTCAAAAGAAACTGTTCACCGATTGGGCACAATAATACAAAGCACTTTTTGTGCCCAATCAGGAGCCAGCATTCGCTTGACCGTTTGGAAATGGTCTTGTGAGAGTCGGTACCCAAGGGCTTTTCCGCCTGTGCTTGAAAACTTTCGTTGCGCCTTTTCTCACGGCCCGACTAACCGTCCCTGGGTCTCCGAGGATGACACAACCCAAACCCTATGCAAGGAATGCTCATCTGATATTGCAGTATTGCCAACAAAATGCATTGAAAAGATGACACTGGGGTGTATTAATATGCACATCGTGTAAAGTACCCAGACAAGTGAACAAAGCTTACCCGAAGGTCCCTGCATTGCTGACGAAGCAGAAGCAGTTTTCAGTTCATCTCTACATGTATGCTGCTGTTGTAATTCACTAGTTGATCTAGGGGCCCCAGAAGCTTTTCCATGGTTGAATGACTTTTTCCCAATTCCAGAGAGTGGTGTGCATCTCTCTGAACTGCTACAGTTTATGGACCCTTGAACACTTGATAAGGCGGTACCCTGACTAACTGCGGTAGTTGCTGTAGTTTCAGTTAGAGACGTGCAAGTAGCCTTTGTTTTGCTTAATTCCGGTTTTTTATTTTCTTCAGGAATCGGATGTGGCAATCTCCCAGGGGTATCAGCTTCACTTGAATTTTCCGTGGGAGACCTAGGATGATTACTTTCAGTCACAGGGTAGGATAATGTTCCAAGACCCTTGACAGCATTTTCCTTTTCCGAGATGGATCGCACACTGCCTTCTTCAGGAACACTAACAGGTAATTTTTCTGAGACGTTAACATCGGCTGAGTTTCCAGGGGGACTTCCTGAGTTTTTTGTCTCTGGAACAGGGCTGAACAATGCTAGGCGAGAGCCAATCGCAACTTCCTTCTGCTCGGAAGATCCTGCACTGCCCACTTCAGGAACGCTAACAGGCAATTTTTCAGGGACTTTAACATCGGTTGAATCTCCAGGGGGAGGTCCTGAGTTTTTAGTCTCCGGAACGGTACTGGACAATGCTCCGCGAGAACCAGTAGCAAGTGCAGTCTGCTCAGAAGATCCTGCATTGCCTACTTCAGGGACTGCCATGGGTAGCATTAGAGGGTTATTAGAGACATTTTCACTTTCTGAAGGACTTCCTGAGCTAGCAATCTCGGGGTTTGTACCAGTTTTACTCTCCGGAAACCCAAATGGAGCTTCTATACTTTCGGCAGTACTTGGAGTTCTGTAAGATACAAACAATCAAACAGATTGTTTATTACAATACAGGACACGGAAGACAAGGGATACACTCTTGGAAGCCTCAAACTAATCAAGCTGGACGAATTTTATAGCAGTTATTCTTAGACACTACTTTTTCGAAACTATTTTTGCTGAAATCCACGTTAAAACTGTTTGACAACATGAACGCTCGCACGGCAAACTATCCCTTTTTCCAGATCCTTTAGTTGCAGGTTTGTGCACGAGCAAGAATTAAACAGAAGAAAGTAGAGGCTACAGAGAAGAAGGTCTGATCATCCCCAAAACACAACCATTGGGCCGCATTTTTTATAAACCTAAGCTTATAACTAATTGATTTGAAAAAGAAAATTTAACCACTTGATGGTCACCCAAATAAAGGTACACGTAGGTAAAATCTAATGGAAAATAATATGCAATGGCGAGTGGTGAGAGTGGTAGCGAGTGAGAGTGGTAACGAATACCGTACTTCCTCGAATGGGAGCCCTAACGGTTATTCAAAATTTCGGTTCAAAGGAGGGGCGCTTATTAGAAGGGGGGCTCTTATTAAGTTTTCCTTCCAAAAAAGTGTAACTTTTTTTTGACTAAATGTTTAATAGAAAAACAAGAACTACAACATTATCCAAGTAAACGTTAAGTCAACGCTGTTTGTTAAAACAGTGGTTTGTAATCAAGCGTACCGTAGTCCCATTATACACTTTGCGCACAGATGTATCAATATGTAGTTGAAGCTCAACTGACATACATCAAGCTTGATTCGATCCACAAATAAAGGACTACGTTGCTTTAGAAAAATATTTTCAACCGCTAAGCAAAAAGCAGATTTAAATAATGTAATTCTTTTTTGATTTTTTTATTACTCACTTTTGTATTATAGTTATTATTTTCCATTTTTTTACCCTCGACTTTTTCTTTTTCAGGTTCCCAAGTGCGTACCGTGCGTACAGCTAGCTACGCCCCTGGGATTTGTGCTAGGGGCGTCTCCTCTCCCTTGTACTTCTCCCTCGCTTTACACGCTTGTCCACTTTTACCCACAGCCAGATGAAAATCTTCACCAAGGCAATAGCAAAAAAATGAAATGCATATAGCTATCTTAGCCCTACATTTTTGCGAGACACACAAAAACTCTCCAAATTGTAAGAGCTGCCTTGGCTGCCTCGGTTGCCTCTATATACTGGCCACAGGCTCGCATGATCGCTTTTGGTAGCTTTAATTTATGAGGTCTTTTAGCAATTATACTATTTGTAAGAGTTCCTTATGATCGTATTAATACAAATGATACTCAGTATAAGTCACCTTGGTGTTGTTGTTCCCACATTGATTACACTGTAGTCACCAACACTGGCATTTCCACCAGACATGTTGATACTGTAACTACTTTCACCAGTGGAGGGAAGCTGGGGCTGAACACTATAAAAAATCAAATGATATGTGATAGCAGTCAGATACAGTGGCAACAGGTAACAGCGACACTGCCTTGCACCAGTCCTTAATTACGTTGTTCTCCTTTTATGTCGCCAGCCCTTATAAGGTTTTTTGCAATACTTGCAAGGTTTTTCAAGCCTTTTCACTTTAAAGAAGCTCTCCATAACCCACCGCGGTCAAACGCTTGATGCATTTTCTGTAAGCATGTTTACAGAATGCCCCTCCACTTAAAAATAGTTGGGAAGAGAGACTCTCAATTCTTCTCCGACTTTTTTTTTTGTTTTTGTTTTTTGAGGGGAGGGGGCGTCAGTACACAGGCTATTTTCTGTTTATTTAATTTGGTTTTGTTTACCACTGAAATGAAATTAACTCGAACCTCGCGCTAACTGGAACCAAAATCGATTTCCCCTGGATTGCCGTCATACATTCACTGTAATTTTACCCTCGGTAACTCGAACCGCTAACTCGAACCAATTTTCGTTTCCCCTCAGGTCATTTTCTACATAATTTTACCCTCGATAACTCGAACCATGTTTTGAGCCCTTAACTGAGTCGGGAAAAAAGCCGTCTACTGGCGTCCGAAGCATTGAATTTTTGATTTCCTATTGACGTGTTGTAGGAGTATAGTTTACTAGTGGAGGCTGATGTTGATTGTCACAGGCTAACGTGAAACGCTCAGCAGCTTTTCTTCTCAAAACAGTAAGTGACGCATGCTCTATTTAGGCTATGTTTTGTTACGTTACGTTCTGATTTATAATCTAGAAGTATCTTTTAATTTTCACTTGACATTTCTACAATTAAATGTGATTAAAATGTTCACTGTACAGTAAAAACTGTTTTTTACCTTACTCTCGGCTATTTTCTTCGAACTCCCGATAACTCGAACTCCAGATAACTCGAACTCCCGATAACTTGAACCTTTTTTCGATTTCCCTTGAAGGTTCGAGCTATCGGGAGTCGACTGTAGCATGTTAATGTAAAAATGTTTCTTAGCTTAAATGCTTCATGCTAGCACAAAATGTCGCAGACAAATTCGCAGCATCTGTCTTCAATTACTTAGGACTTTCTCAGTGCATTTAAAAGCTTTCTGAATAAAATATAAGAATATCGATGAAGTATCAAACTTCATTGCAGAGCCTCCGCGCGCGCGAAGCGCGCACAGCGGAGCACCATGGGTAATAAAATTTGGTAAACTACCCATCCGAGAAAATTTGGTTATGACGTCACCGTACGTCCGTCCGTACGGACTTTCCTGGTAGGGGTAAGTAGAAACGAATTCCTCCCCTCTCCCCTAGAGAATTTTGTCCCCTATTGTTTTAAACCCTTTAGAAATGATTGACAAATCAGAATCTGTCAACTAACCAAATGTTTTGTGGATTTTAGGGACCGACCATTTGACTTTAGAAGAAGTTATGAGTGATTTCAGAAAAAATGTCCTGCAGACTGATTTCGAGAGGAAAAAAGCATGCAAATAAATTCCTGGGAGAAAAATATCCTGCACTGAAAAAATATCGCTCATGACGTATAATGCTGAGCAAAATCTTACACCGTTATATGTCGGGGAAAAAATTCTAACTCCAGAGAGATTTGGGAAAAAATTCTTCCAATACAAACTAAATCGGTAAAATAACCCATACTCCACTCCCCCACGAACGTCCAATGGTCATGTCAACCATTTAGGGGTGAGGAAGAAACATATTTGACACCTTTTAAATGTCATCCATCAACAAAAAGGCTGGCGCGCGTTCATGATGTGGTGGTTTTCAAGACTAAAGTTTTGCATTTCAAGATTGATAGTACGTCGATGAAAGACAAATGCAAAAAGAAAGTTCAAAGGAATGCTCAGTCTCGTTTTTGTGGGCAAACGAAAGCTTTTCGCAATGATATTGTCTTTCGAAGAATTCAACCTTGTTTCTACACGGCGGATCGGAGCGCTTGGCTTGTTTTGAACCAACCAAGGCAGCGAGGTCTCTGAAGACACTTGAGGTACATTCCGTACTCTATGATCAAAGAAAAGTTCGTTTTTAAAAAGGAATTTTTGTATTTATAAAGGCTTCATGGACGTTTTCTACATTTTGAGATCGGCGTGAAAGAAAAACCAAAAAATGTGCATTTGAAACTGATTTTTTTACCACGTGCTCGACCGATTTAACTTGCGCGAACGCAACGATTTAACTTGACTTGCAATTATGCGAATGCGAATTGCTTTTTAGGATTAACTTATGGGTTTTTGAATAAAAATTTTCAAGAAATTAAGTTATTTATCTGTCATTGTTCATTCATAACATAAGCTCAAAAAACGATCACAGATCGTGCCATTTTTAGAAACATTCAGACGGGCCCTTTCTCAAATTAAAACTGAAGTGTTGTTTTTGCACATGTTCCGCATTGAATTGCTACTCATTTTCTTAATCATTACGAGCTTATCTAAAAAATGAAAGCGTTCTCCTCTATTCTAAAACGGAGAGACTTGCCGGCTTTTGGAGCCCGAGTTTGTCTTTTTTTTTTTTTTCAATAATAAAAGGTTGTAAGTTGCTGTATTAACGTTTATATTTGAAGTGAAAAATTGGATTATTGTTATAAGAGCGAAAAAGATTATCGTTTTCTTTCGTATGTCTGTCCTCGGAGAAAATATTATACACCTTACGGTAAAAATTTCTTTCAGATATTGTGTGGTATAAATGTAAAGGCTACACATAACTGTTCGTCAAAAAAAAAAAGAAAAGAAAATATAATGGGCTTACTGGAAGACAAAAGTCCTTAAGTCGGCCTGATTTTACTTTTACGTCTTCCCTTAAACACAGAATCACCGATACTTAAGAGACTTACAATTTAACAATTTTTTCAATTCAGGTTTGTTTGCGGGATATTTTTTTTCTTAATCATTTAGCCCCTCCCTCTAAAGGTGTCTGATGCCGAAGGCTCTTAGGGATGTGAAGATTTTTTGGCTTAGAGTTCATGTTATTACTTTAATTGGATTGCGTTTATCATAAGTATAGAAACGGAGGATTCGCTTGTAGCCCTGGCTAAATCTATATATTACAGGGAAAATGGCAATCGTAGCTTCAGATTTGGGAAATTTCTCTGTTATCACCGCGGTCAATACTGTCAATACTTATCAGCTCTGTTTAGATGTAACCTGCGTGCACATGTTGTGGTTCAATTTCCTTGGTTTGAATTCATTTTCCTTTGTTTTAAAACAACTTATTATCATACATTACCAAACCCCCTAAAATAAAATGAAAACCAAGAATAAAACTGAAGCTTAACATAGACTCCCACTCCACAGACCAGTCCACATTTCCACCTAACCCCAGGAGACGCCTAAACGAAGACCATTTAGATGTCGTTAATATCCAATCACGTTTTAGGTGAGTGTTCGTTATTTGTTTTATCAGCCAATGGATGAAAAGATCAACACATGGACTCTTCGTTTTCCCGCCAAAGAAAACCCTAATATGGAGAAGGCATTGTGCAATTGGCAATCGTGTCGCCGTATAACGTCAAAGCGAAGTATCGATTGATTTGTAGACAGTTCTCGAGCATGAAGTTTTTTCACCCGAGCGTTTTGCACCTATCAATGTAATGCCGGCGGGGGAAGGCAGGGCATAGGGTGGGGATTTGACTTTTTTTAAATATTTGCAATCAAATTCCCTGCCCACGGGCAAATCATTCCAGTCAAATGCAACCAAATTTCCCCACCCCAGGCTGCACATTGCTGTCAATCCCAAGGTAGAACCTAAGAACGGCGCAATAAAAGTATCTCCAAATAAAACTCTGCAATCTTTTATAAACGTTGCTGCATCACCAAAGATACATGTTCCTGTTACAGCTGCAATTATACATTTTAACCATAATCCGTGTTACACTGCGTAGAATACATAAACCTTTAGGAGAAACTCCACATTTTGTAAGTTTAAATATACCGTTCTTAGTAAGGGGTACAAATAAAGTCAGTTTTATAAGTTTACACTGATTGTGGCGAATGAGCCATACACTAATCAATTGTACTTGCAAAAATCGACTTGGTTTCTCTTTACTTCCGTTTACTTTGATACCACAGTATTTTAAGAGGTTCAATCGATCAAAAACACGCTAAAACAAACGAAATTTGAAGACAAAACAGTGAAATCCACTCAGCCTTCGCTTGTTCTCATTGGCCTCCATGACTTCCTGATCTTTTCAAACCGTAGGGCGCATGCGTGAAGCGTGGAAGCGGGCAACATATGTTCGGTCTCAGTCTTTTTCGTCCGAGTCGGCAGTCAAATATCTCCACGTCGGGTGAAGAACGATTCAAATATCCCTCCCTGGGAGAACAAGATCAGTCAAATGCCCTACCCCAGGGCCAACAAAGACAATCAAATCCCCACCCCGTGCTCTGCCCCCCCCTGCCCCCCCCCCCCCGCTTGCCGGCTTTACATTGATAGGTACATTTGTTTAACCAACCAAAAGCCACGCGTTTATATCCGTTCGATAAACCAATCAAATCGCTCTATTTCCGTCCGTTTGTTGTTTCTCTTTTGTTCGCGCGTTTTCATTTCAAGGTCATACGAAAATCGCTCTAAGGAACCACAGTTTCTTTCATAATTATCTTTAATTGTTAAGGCATGCGATAGGAAGAACAAGAACAAGCAAAACGGCCGTGACTATCTATTGACGAGAAAGACATGAATATCGCTGATTAGAGAGGTAGGATAGGAAAAGAAAAAAGACTTAAGTCGATCTAAGTCCATCCACCTCTCCCTCTTTATCCCTTATTCTGTCCTTTCTCCCAAACTGGGTGGCAGCTTCCATCTTGCTTTCTGAATCCCGGAACCCAAAGTTTTACGGGCTGGTTTGTCATTCCACTTAAGCAAATTAAATTCTTTGAAATCACTCAGAGACTGACAACTTCATGTTAAAGACAGACACGAGCATTCCTCCAACAGTAGTTTCCAAACTTCTAAATATTAAGAAACTTCGAAAAGGAAGCCAAAAAACTTCTGTTAACCTTTAGTCTGAAATAAACATGACAAGATCTTTCTATTACAATAAAATCAAGCACTAACCGAGTAGTCACAGCTGATGATTGTCCCACACGAACCTCACTTTGGGGTCCAATTGCTGCAATTCCCCCTTCACGAACGTCAGTTTTGAATTCATTATGAATTGTAAATTGCGATGCTGTCACGTACATTACTATTTGGAAACAAAGCAGTCACATCAGCCACACGCTCATCTTCTAAGCAAATCAGGCGTAGTCTAGCCTGAGAAAACAGCCGACATTTCGCGACGCCACCACTGGTTTCCCCGCGAAATGACATCTGAGAAACGAACGCAGAGATTCCATGCTGATGACGCGTCACTACCCAGATCTGGGTAGAGCTTCTGATTGGTCGTGCCATGAGGGAAATTTGTTTTAGTTAATCAGAAGCACTACCCAGATCTAAGTAGTGACACGTCATCCGTATAGAATTTCTGCGCTCGTTTCTCAGACGTCGATTTAGCGCGGAAACCACTGGTGGCGTCGTGGAATGCCGGCTGTTTTCTCAGGATAGGCATAGTCAATCGATAACAATCTTTAGAAATCTATAACAATCTTCGATGGATAATGATATCGATTTTCGATACCAATCCATAGAAATCGATAGAGAAAAAAGTTGTGACTTTGATTAATAATGATTTTCGATGGAAATCGATGACTATTGATTAATTGATTGTTAGAAAAGACTTGTGATCCAGTAGGACGTCAAGATCTGTACTGAAGGGTCAGCATGATGGCATTTATCTAACTACTGAGTTGCTGTGCAGGCACTGTCTGGTGGGAGGATCGTCGGGCGAGTTTCAGTCCAGTTTTGACTATGCCTGGAAGTAAATTAGTCTCCTTGGAGGAGAAATACTATTAGTAAATAACCAAAGGATATGTTTTAAGACTGCCATTTTCACAAAATTACAGCCCTCCAAAGTTGATCTCCTAGTTAAGGACACCGAACCCTAAAAACCGTATGGACAAATTTTGTTTTTCTTTTTTCATGGTGATCTATTTAAGCATTCTTTTACATAATGTGCAACTAACCGTGGGGTAATCCTAAGGAATGTGAAGCATCGGTTGGCTGTGGTATAAGTACATGTTCTGCAATGGTGCAAAAGAATAAAATGGCTTCTTGCTACAAGACAATTTGTTATTTTTATATATCTGGTTAATAGATGTCAAAACTGTGCTAGAAATGAAATTTATTTCTGAAAGAAATAAATGGTTTTATGCTTAATATGACTGATTAATGTGTCATTTCTCCAGCTGCTAGTAAGTCTTTACTAGTAAGGGGGCGTTCCTGCCATCCGGGAAATTATATGTGTGTTTTTAAGACATAAGCGAGGCACAAAGCCTCTCTGCTCACTGCAACAAGAAAGTTAGAAAACATTTCTTCCCTCCCTTCCCTCCCCTTTTGCTCCACTTTCATGTCCCGGATGGCGGGTGTGCCCTCACCTTTGCTGGGATAATCTTCTTGTGTATCTGGATTTTCCTAGCTGTATATGCTTAAATGAAATAAGACGGCCACTCTTGTGGCCAAATTCATCCCAAACTGGAATTGTCATTATTGGTTATCCCAGCAAACAGAGTTCACCAAAAGCGAGACTCCACCAACAGCAATAACTGATTCGATAATACTATCTAAAGGAACATGAAGCATAAATATAACTAAGGTCTAAGTATTATTGACTTAATCAAGTTGAAATGACTTACGTTAATTATAAATGAAAAATGAAAATGCATTTATTTGGCGCCATACTCCACTAATTGTCCGTGGCGCTTTACAATACCATAACTCTTTTAAAATTAGTAACAACATAACATGCATTATTATTCATTCAAAATATTTCCCCAATTCTGATTGGCTAAAAACACAAGCATAACTCACCATAACCAGTTACTGATGACCAAATTTGGAAGAAATTTGTGTTTAACGAGGAAATGACGTCACAAATGCAGCCCGCTACAGGTTAATGTACCGTTAACCGAGAAGACCTGGAGACGGGGTTGAGTTGTTTTCGTTGTGAAGCAAAATTGGCGGACACTTCACTCGTTTCTACAGCTGGAGCTAGGCGAAATAATAGCTAAAATCATGGCAAAAACAGCAAGAACACAACACGGAGCGCGACATCTGCTATTTGGAGAATATTTGCGGAACTGGACAAACCTAAACGTACACTATCGAAGACAAACTTAACATCGATGCAGGTAAGCATGTTTTAGCTATGTTTTTAAACTAGGAATTATTTTGAATGAATAATAAAACAATTAATGAATTCGGCTTTCGTAGGATATGAAGAATAAAGCAGATCTCGGAGGGTGTTATCGTGGATAACACCCTCCTCGATCTGCTTAATTCTTCACATCCTACTCTGTCTCATTTATTAATTGCTAATTATACAACATAATTATGAAGCAAACAGTTAAATCAAAAATGGATTTGTACACTTTGATGTCAATAGGAGCAGGGGCCTAAAGTAGGGCCCGGTTGTTCAAAAGGAAGGTTAAATTAATCCCCGGTTAAGCCTAACCCGGATTTAATTTTCCCCCACTTAACCACGGGTTTGTGAACTCCCGTTAAAATTGCGTTTTTTGACGGAAGCCTAGTTAAAATACTTGCATATTAAAAGACTTGTATCTTGTACTATGACATCTAAATGTCTGGCTTTAAAACGGGAAAATGACAAATCATGGGAGAAATTTGCATACAAGCTACCACCTTAGTGAAATTGTTAGATAACACGGACAGGAAATCTTCAGGTGGTTGTTCAAAATGCACCAGCATCTTGTTGCAACAAAACATGACATCAAATTTAACTGTTAACGTTTGGTGCTTAAATAAAGAGTCAGTGTGATTGGACTTGACGTCAGAAGCTGGCCACGAACGTTTACATTCAACACCAAGATTTATGTTGTAGCTAATTTTTTACCTCAGGTAATTTTGTTTTTCTTTTGTTTTTGGGCATGGCAATGTATGTTTAATAAAGTTGAAACAAAGGAAAAATAAAAATTACGTCAGATAAAAATTAACTACAACATTTATGCAACTTATTGGTTCCAGGATCTTACATCAGTTTTATGTTGCTAAATGTGAAATTTCATGCAATTTACTTGACAAAGACGTGTGCCCACCGGCAGTGCAAGGTTAAAGTTACTCGATCCGTTTGCTGGTTACTTTTGTGCCAGAAGAACCAAATCTACCCAAAATGCTGATTACAAGTCAAGTAGCTATAGTACGCCAGCGTTTGTTCCTGATATGAAATTACAGTCACAACCTTCAAAGTACGGCCATGCACAGAAGGTAATAAAGGTTTTTTTCACTGCCCCCTCGACTTTTACCTTTCATTTTCACTCCTCCCTGCTGCTATCACTTTCCGTTCCTTGTTTGTTTTTTCTCTGCTGGAAATATACCAGGTTTCATTTTCTTGCGAAAAGGTTTTCCGGAGACACTGGGGAACCCAAAACTATTTTGAAGGGAAAACACGTTGGTGGTGGCCGGTAGGACAAAGTTAAGATTTTTTCGGTTTGTTTTGTTTTGTTACTCTTTCTCTTTTGTGTTTCTCTCTGGACTGTTTGACAGAACCATGCTTATTTTGGGATGCCTGGTATTTAAAGATCGCTTTCCTTTATAAATGGGCCACTAAAAATAAACTGATGCCGCAAGCAAGTGGTACATTAAGGGACGTGGTTCCACATGGGCAGTTACAGGCCTTTGATGTGTGAAGCTATTTCATTTATTTCATAAAATAATTTTTAATGTGTGAACAAAATGAAATGATCATAATGTAGACGAGAAGTAAGTGAATCTCAATTGAATTACTCATGCTCAAAGAAGACATATAACCAAGCGAGGATTTAGTAACATAAGGAACGTGTCTATGCTTTCCAGATCGAATTGGATTTTTAAGAAGGGAAAACCGGAGTAGTCCCGGAGTCAAACCTCTTGGAGTAAAGGACAGACCAAGCAACAAACTCAACCTACATAATTATGGTGTCAACGCTGATTTGAACCCTGGCCACATTCAATTGGTCGGAGGCGAATGCTCTCACCTGCACTGCACCTCCCTTACCTAGATTTGTATCATGTGAAACCTCCATATTTAACAGATGTTCTTATGTCTTTAAGGGGGAGAAACTCCTGACCAAGCACTAAGTATGTCAAATAAGAGACTGTACAATGTGTTGTACCGGTGATTATAAACAAATATTGGAAGAGATTTTTGTGATATCCGGAATAATTAAGGTCGAGGCAAGTGTTATCAGCCGAGTCGAAGGCCGAGGCTGGTAACACTTATTGAGACCTTGATTATTCAGGATATCACAAAAACAGAATCTAATAATTGCTTTTATACATCGTTTAGAAGAAAATAACGGCAAACACAGCGTCGCAAGGAGCCTGAATTGATATTGTTATTGGAAATTACGCATTGCCCGTGCAACCTACAAATTAGTCAGTTATCTGTTAGCAGATAACTAACTAATCTGTAGGTTGACCTGATTTCCAAAATTTGCTGTAGGCTCTTAGCGTATGAGAAGACAGATAGTGGGTACAATGTATAATAATAAGTGTAATGAGTATAAAATATACCTGTGCCATCAGCTTCCACTGAACCACCTTTTCCAACCACTTGGACATCTGGCGTGGGCAGTTTTATTAAACGCTGTACAAAACAAAACTCACCCATCAGTTCTATTCAACAATAAATATATCTTATAAGTTATCACTTTTTTGACTGCTGTGTCCCCATGGGACTTGCAACACACAGGCCTCGACTATAACCATTCAAACTTGCTGATCAATAAAACCTCAGTGGTCCCTATACCGTACTTCAAACACATCTCACAAACGAGATTCCTCTGAATTCATACCTACGTCTGATCAGGAAGCTGTCAACCTGCAATACTCTCTAGATAAGAGTCCTTATAATAAGTAATTGGTTTACAGCTAACCAGAATAGAAAAGAATAGACTGTGTTTTATAAATCGCACTATATTGAACAATTTTACAAATTAATTGATCCAAAACTATCCTTAGCAAAAAATAATATATAGATTTAGCCAGGGCTAAAATCGAGGCTCCCATCAATAAATTTATAATTAAATCACACAATAAACTTGCATTCCAAAATTCAGTTAACTTTAGAGCACATTCATGAAGAAGAAGAAGATACTTTTATTTAGCTAGGGTAACTCCTACAGTTACAAAAACTGATATCCTTAGAGGCCCTAGATAAAAAAAGAAATATAACAATATGTTAAAAATACTTTAAACTAGTCCTAACTAAGCTAATAGAAAAAGATCCTAAAAAAGGTAAAACCGAAATTGGACGGTGATTATCCATATCGGTAGATATTCCTTTCTTGTACAGTGGGGTTATTTTTGCGTACTTCCACTCACTCGGCACTGTTCCCTGCGACAATGATTCATTTACAATTCGAGTCAGCGGCTTGGCAATTAACCACTGCAGCATCTTTCATCATACGCGGATATATATTGTCAAGACCACTAGCCTTGCTTTCTTTGAGACCTTGAAGTGTCTTAACAATCAGCGACTCATTTACCAATTCAAATTTAAAATTTGGTATTGATCCATTAACGTTTTGATCAACGCTTCTTTTTTTAAAAGAAACACTACCGAAAGCCCGCTTAAGGCGTACAGCGGCTGAAGCGAAAAAATTATCGAAACCATTAGCAATTTTCTTTCCATCACTGGCTTCACTACAAAGCACACCGTCAATATTGATATTTTTGGAACCGCCAGAGCTCTTGTTCCCGGGAATGATCTTCTTCGTTGTACTCCAGAAGGCTTTGGTGTCATCTTTATGGTTATCAATTAACTTCTTGTTGTATGTTTGTTTTGCCCTCTTTACTGAGTTCGTCACACGATTTCGCATAGATTTATACGCAAGCCAGTCTTCGTCACGGGATGATTTTTTCGCCTTTTTTAAAAAGTAGTCACACTGACTAATGTCTTTCTTTATTTGGCCAGTCATCCACGGACAATTATCTACACCACGTACTCGCTTCTGGATAAGTGGGGCGTGACGATCACCACCTTAAGGAATGCGGAATTAAAATTGAGCCAGAGTTCGTCAACACAAATGACATTCTCATTTGCTGTCCCAGAGGAATTCATACTAACAACCCAATTAACACCTCTAAGGTCTTCACAAAACTTTGCAGGGTCGTATTTTGCATAATTCCTGAAAATCTTTGTTTCTGTGGCAGCTTTCATCCAGTTTAACTTTATGCAAAAAACCCCGCACTCTCTAATGTTATGGGGAGAGTTCGTGATAATAATATCCAAACGTGTTTTGGAGTATTGAGTAAAACGAGTGGGCTGATTTATGAGCTAAGTAAGGTTTTCTTGTCTCAGTAGCGCCTAGAGTTGTTTACAGTCTGACTCCGTGGTCCGTTTTGGTAATAAATTACAATTTAAATCGCCTGTGATGATCACCTCTTTATCCATAGCCGTAGCACGCCTAAGACAATTGCCAAATATAGGCATGAAGTCTTTGACCGCATGATTTGAAGACGTTGGCGGCTTATAAAATGTGCCAACTAGAAAGCTACGCGATTTCGGTAGGCAAACTTCGACCCAAAGACCCTCGATAGTCGATTCTTCAAGGTCGGGCCAACGCATAACTTTCGTATCATTTCTTACGTACACTGCAAGGCCACCCCCTTTATTTCCTCTGTCTCGGCGAAAAAGTTTGTAGCCAGGAATCCCAAGCTCAGAGTCCGCGATATCTTTATGTGCCCAGGTTTCAGAGAAACTCATAAACTGTAGACTCGAGCGCAGTTCGGAAACGATGAGACGCAGTTCATGAATCCTACCGGTTAGACCCCTAATATATCTTAAAACCCTTGATCACTGAGATGTCACTTAACTTCTGTGATAGAAATAGGCCATTGTCGATCAGGCTGTTCTCATTTTCGTTAGCAGAATGATTCTGACAAGTGCACAAACTACAAGATTTGCTAAGGCCCAAAGCATGTAAGATGGATCGACTTTAGACAAACCGAGCAGTCCGCAGAAGATTGGTTTTTCTTGATAATCTTTCTACATATGCCACGGACATTCCTCGCTGCGGACTCAGGATTAAGCTCAATATCGCCAGCTAAGTAGATTAGGCAAAGAGCAACACCAGACTGCTTGCAAAGCTCGAGTATCTTTGGAATAGAACATGGCCGTCGTTGAGATGGGCGAGTGAACTCGGAGCGAAGTGTTCTTCCACCTTCTACCGAAGGAGTTGCGGACAGTCTAGTCCCCAAATAGAATCGTGTTGATGCAGATTCCACGGAGTACTGTTTAAACCGGCTAAACAACAAGATTAGAAGTAAAACGCCGCTTAACCTATGGAACGACCGACATGCGTGACCGACCTTCATGACTTTTGAGGGAAAGGCTAAGTAAAAATAACTTGCAAACAGCCCAAGATAGCCTCATATGTACACCCCCAAAATAGCAATCATCTTCGATCACATTTAACAGCCATAATGGTTCTTGATCACCGTAGATTAATTAGGCCTGGAAAAAAAATCAGGCCGAATTTTTTGTGTTCGACAAGTTTACTTTACAAAATCTTGCCAACAAATCTGGGTGCGTGTAAACCAACCTTTTATACCATTTAAACATCACATCTGAGGTGAAACAATACTATGAGGCACTGTTTTTATCATACAGACCTCGGACAGAATGCAGTATCTCACAATTTTGCGATCCAAACTGCACTCATTCAATATTCAGGACGATCGATCGAAGCAAATTTCCAAAATCAGCCGGTTCCCACTTTTGCAGAGCGAGCTGTGGTCGTGTTTGAATGAACATTAACATAGAATAACAAAGAATTTCTTATCTTCATTTAATGGTTTTATCGATGTGTACACTTCAAAAGCGTTTGATACGCGCGGCATTTTGAGTACCCCTGCAAGCGATGTTCACTGAACGACTGAAAACAAACGGCACAGCGATTAAAATTACAAGAGAGACTACTAACAATCAATAAAAGAAATATAATTCCGGTGAAACATATACAGAGACAACAATTTTCATTCGCGACGACAAGTATTAAAGCGTCTCTAAAAATCCTGAGTCTTCAAGCTTAAAGCTTAAGTTCATGTTTTGGACCGGCTTCCCGGCGTTTGCTTCTTTTCAAAGATGAACTCGAGGCAAGAAAATCGCTTAAAGCTTTCTTATACAGCCAGAATTATAACTAAATATTCTTTGGAACGTTTTCTTTCTATTTGCGGTTAGAAAATGTCTAAAGGCTTTTTAAAGTTCTGTAAGCTTATATCAAAACTGATACTCGGTCAGATCATTATCTCAAATCTTACAAACGTGCATAAACTAAATAGCCGCATAAACTACGCTCGACTTCATTAAATTAGATATAACAAACAAACATCAAATACAATACTGACTCAGGCTTACCATTCAAGATGCAGTCCTGAAAGGTATCAAGTAGGCCAGTACCGCTTCAGACTTTGCAACCCTCTTATGCATCAAGCAAGGTGAAAAACGAAAACGATGCCATCCGAAATCGGGTTTCCGACTTTGAAAAGTGACGTATTTCTCAACCAAAAACCCAATAAACAAACTAGCCATAAATAACAGAAGACTCCTGATAACAGCTGAATTTCATTTTGTACATCCAGTGGAAAAAACAGTTAAAAACATCACAAGTTGACGCAAAACTCTGTCAGCTTCCGCTGTCAAAGTAAACAAGATTCAAGATGCCGCATAAATTTTCCGCATGAACTCACCTATCAAATTTTGACCAATCAGCGCATAAAAATTGGACGAAGAGTGTGACCAACGCGTGATCATGGTGAGCAAAGTCAAAAGCAACTCTCTTCCCTGGCTGTAATAGCTGGCTGAATTTTCGCGTCCGAGATCAGTTTGAAATCAAAATTTTAATTGTGCGGCAGAAATGCACGACATATTTCATCTGAATTAAAAAAAAAAAAATTAAACTTGAGCCTGCGATCATTTGAAAACTAGTAACTTGTCAGCGGATAACTTCAAAAAATACTTGACCTGGATGGGTCGACACCTGAGCCCGAAATACGGTCAAGTGATACTGGTCAGCGGATACCCTGTTTTGACAGCTGTCAGTTGATCACAACATTGATGTCCAACATGTCTGCATTATCAGTTTTCCTGTGCTCTCAAACTAGCTAGAAAATGAGATTGAACATTGATCGTGTTCAGCAGCCCATCAAATGATGGGCTCCTGTCGTGATCTAGTAAAACAATTAACTGGTCAGCGGACAGCTTCCAAATGAATCACGTCACCTCGATGAGTTGAAACATGAACCCGCAATATGGTCATGTGATACTGGTCAGTGGCTATCCTGTTTTGACAGCTGTCAAATGACCATTTTGTGAATGTCCAATATACAAGATGTGGACTTGCCAAGACACGCCTGAGATACCCGTCCCTCCCTTTTGATAGTCTCCCCTACTCCACCCTTACAATCTGTAGACGCGTACATACGTACGGTCGGTCAATCACGTGACAACCAAACGAAAAGAGGTTCACCATATTCTGTGAGTATGGGGCTCTGTGGAGCCCCGCCATGACACCTCAGTAATAACCACAATGTAATTGAAAATCTAAAAAAATCAGGAAACATTGTCAGAGAACCGACTCTTGTTGATAAAATTGTCCGTACAATCTAATCTCTTAGTTTGAAAGGTTTTTTACTTGTGTAGATTGAAAGAATTCTGTCTCCTTAAATGAAATGTAAGCCTGCTGCACGGTTTTGGTAACAAACTGTGGAAACTTATTAGAAGGGTTCTAAACAACTGAATGGAACAGTTCTTGATTGGTCAGTTGTTCGTGATGGGCCCTCACGGAGTCGACATCAGCAAGACTCAAATTGTTGTCAAAGAGGTAACATGCGAATGGTAGCATCATGGGGATTAGGAAATGTTTAGTGGTGGATACGACTAATTTAGACTACCTATCAACCAGCTATAAATCGACAAAATTACACTAGCCCGATAACAGACCTGCCAACTCTCACGATCTGCCGCGAGTCTCACTTTTGACTTTTCTCACGACCTCATGACAACTCCCAGTCTCACGGTTTTTTGGGGGAAATATCATTCTGAAATGAAATGTTAATGTTGTTTCTTTTCCAACTAGGACCCCAGATGAAAACAAGAGTAAGAGACATGATGTCTTACAATGCTGACCTGTCTGGCTTTTGAAGGATTCTCCAGAAGTTCGGTGATGACTTTGTTCCCTTTTGCTATCTGCTTGGGTGTTTCATTATGCTGCAAAGTGAGTAATTAGAAAAATTTTGTTAAAGGCTCACACGACTGGTACCACATGGGTTACAAGTGCAAACTGATGCACAGTGCTGCATTATCCTCACAACTTGACCCTAGGCCAAAAATAATTGTAGTCAACACTTTTACACATTTTACTCAAAACATTTTTTAACGAAATTATATAATGTATCATATTTATTCAAATAAACTCCATCCAAGATTTAATAATCAGAAGAATTCGGCGTTTATTAAAGGACTACAAGAACAACTCGGTTTAACTTGGTAATCTACACAATGAAGTCAAGACAACTTTGATTCTATCTCAGCAAAAAGAGAGACATTGGAACTTTAAAAATTGTCTGTTTTACTTCTTTGGAATATTCTATAGGTTTTACAGCATCTTCATTTCATTTTAACTTTCCATTTTCAGAGGGATCCAAATTTTCTGCGCACTTTATGGTGGTCAGGAGCCCAGTCTGGGGACAACGGCTAATATTTCTTGTGATAGTACAGATGATGATGGATGATGTTCAAATTATTTTTCTCTGTCTAAGCGCAACATAACTCTACCTTTCGCGGGTTAAAATGAACTCAACAATTGGCCTACTCGTAATTTATGGGTCTTCATAGATCAGTTGGTAGAGCACTGTAACGCTACTGACAGAGGCTATGGATTCGCCTTAAAGGGGCGCTGATCTTGGCTAATGTCCAAGAATTTAATTGTATATCACAATTGCGACGATTTCCTTCATGTAAATAGCACTAACCAATTAAGTAACGTAACAAACGATATAATTTTGATTCATAGGTTTTAGATCTCGGCATTTGTGACTATTTTTCTTAGCCTACAATTTCCAATTCTACGTATTGAGTACCCCACCGTGGCCTCAATAGGTAGGTGGCCCTCATCCCCAGCTCAGCAGTTTATGATCTCAAACTTCTGAGTGAAACACCTATGATCTATAAGAGTGTGACATAGAGAATAGAGAGCTTTCATCGCGCTTAAACGATGTCGTTCAATTTGTCAAATGCTGGTGATCTTTTCTGGGGCTGAATTCTAAATGATTGTGTTGTAAGTTTAAAAAAAGAATTAGGAAATGGTTACCTTGTGTTCACGTCCACAACATAATGTGAAATAAAGCAGTTTGTATAAAAAAATGTACACAAAAGGGTGATGAACGTGAAAAACATTCTTTTGCTGATCTAAACCTATTGCTTTTTTGGCGGTTCTCGTTGCTGTCACCATTGCCTTTGCACAATACATTGAGGCTGGATTCTTACTCTGTTTTGTAGCTCCAGTGAAGAAACAGCACCATAACACAACAACAGAGCAACACAATTTTGGCACTCCCGCGCAACAGCCAAGTGAAGAGGAGTATTTTTATCCTACAATAAAGGAAAGATATATTCTTAGGATTATTTACACATAATTCTACAACATAAATGCATGTAAAATAATGTCTTTAAAGATCCATGTTTGCTGTCAGTTTTACACTTGATACCATGTACGTTTGGTGAAAATTATGGCAATAGCGACAATAAATAGCACTACCTAGAAATGGGTAGTGCTTCTGATTGGTTCAATTAAATTTCCCAGGCGGCACAATCAGAATTACTACCCAGATCTGGGTAGTGACGCGTCATCAGAATGGAATTTCTGCGCTCCTTTCGCTGACGTCATTTGGCGGGAAAACCAATGGTTAACGTCGCCAAATGTCGGCTGTTTTCTCAGGCTTGCTTAGGCCGAGTTTTAAAGAAAAAACCTGTCTCAGCCGAGTCAACCCTAACAAGCGATTATATGAGGAAAAGTTGACTTAGTGCACGCTTTGATTGTCAAAACAGCACTTGCGTATGCTCTGATTGTCTTGCCTTGACCAAAGTTGACCCAGCTAGGCAAGCTAAAGTGTTTATATGTGACCCACCACAGGAGGATTTGACAGCTAAAGATATTCAAAAGCATGCTCACAACATGATATGCTTCCGCTGCATGCTAAGTGTGTTTAGATACTGGTCGAGCACGTATTAAATTCCTAAAACAAAGAAGGACAACCTTGGCTTTGTTTATATGGAGGAGAGTTGGCCCATGAGGCTGAAGGCCGAATGGACTATTGACTCAGAGGCCATGAGGGCGAGAGGAATAATTGTTTTAGTAAAATCCAACTAGTGGGTCAAAAATATCAAGACAAAGCAACTTTAACTAGCAAAACGCGATTCAGCCGCCATTGTTTTGGTTTTTAAAGCCAGCACTTATCGCTACTAGTGGGCTATAACATATAGCCTAGTAGTAGCTGTACCAATCAGAGTGCAACATTGATAATAGACCACTAGTTGGATTTTACTAAAAGGGAGTACCCCCTAGGGGGCCCCCCTACCACCACAAAAGGGTGAGTCCTGGCTAGGTGGGCCACCCTACTAACCGAGCTTGCTTTTTGTTTCTCATGTAACAATTACTGCCATGTCTTGTAAGGAAATGCATGTAAAGTTGGCTCGCCCAGGGTAGTTCGGGTAAGTTGTTGGGTGACCCATCAATTCCACTACCAGGGACAACTTCTCTCTATACAATCCAGCCCATAATTATTTTAAAAAACTGTTCCAGTTGTTGAATGTAGTTCCTTTAGGTTAATTAGAACTTAAACCTTTTCACTTCTCTTAAAAAAAAATACTACACCAAACTACACCGAGAATAGAAATGAATTTTTTTTCTTGGGGGGTATGGTTTGGATGTAGCAGCATGCAAAGAAAGTAATGTCCAGTAGCCTGGGGCAAGTGGTTTTTGCTATCAGGCTGGTATATTCTGTTCAATTTTTTTGCTCGTCAGTTGAAATAAGTTTTGGGCAAAGGGTTTTGACCCAGTCCCTTTGCATAAAATGGACCGATTTGAAGCATTAACCCTTTAAGCCCCTAGTATCCACAAGCAAATTCTCCAAACCAATCTCTAAACATTTCTTTTAAAGAATAAGTTGAGAGAATTTGATCAAAAGCATTTTCTCTTTGGTGATCATTTAATTAATTTGCATAACCTAATCTCTTGACATTGTATGGATATTGTTAGGAGAAAATTGATGTAGGTCACTATTGGGACTTAAAGGCTTAATAACTATTGCCATTTCACTGTCCTGTTACAGACAGTTTTCAAGATCTGAATGTTTTTGCACGCAAATCAGAATATAACATTCAAAAATATGATAGGCAACCCAGGCAAAAACCCAGAGCAGTGAATCCATCTTTTTATTGCATTTTTTTTTGCATGTCTTATACATGACTATCAATTTTTGTAGTTCTTGCTAAATAATAAAAAGAATTACAAGCATTTAACAGTTTTCAAGTTTTAAACATTCTCCATGCAACTCATGCAGTCAAAACTCTATATAACAGGCAAGCTGGGCAAAACCACAGCCAGTGACCCCATCATCATCGCTTCTTCAATGTCCTATACATGACTTTTAATTGTGCCAAGTTTGAAAACTTCTGGATATACATTATTATCCATTTGAAGTGAATTACCTTAAAGTTTCTGATCGAGCAAGGTTAAGGAGGAGTCAACATAACAGGGTAAGTAAACTTTATTTGGATTTAATTGATACCTCCTTCAATCTGCCCCACTCCCCATCCCACTACCCCCATTGCCCCAAGAAGAATTTAAAACCTGTATTTTATTTTGCTTGCCAATGATCCCTGGATTCTTAGCAAAAGCTTCTGACGATAATAACAACTGTAACACACCATAGTGCCCTTGTCAGCTGCAACATGAATGGCTGTGTTGTCAACCTGAACGAAAAAAGGGACCAAAACTTATTTAAATGTACAATTTAACAGCCCTGTATATTCAAGGGAAATGGCAATCCATGGCCAGATAATTATGGTCTTAATAGATTCTGATTCAACAGGGAGACTCTTGCAAACAATTTACTTCTGGATCAGGTGTGATTGTACAGAGCATCGCCATCCCAATGGCAAAAGCAGAATGAAGATGATGACTATCACTTTTTATAAAGAATATTATCATTCCTGGATAGTAATAGACCTAAGGACTAATCATGACATTTAATAAAAAGTATTGGCTTAAAAAAACATTTTGAAGAGCTAAAAACCTTAAACTTACTGAGTCAGCTTTGGTTATGTCAGCTTCTTTCTCAATAAGCCATTTTACTGTCTGTTGATTTCCTTTTTCTCTGCTGCCAGCTTTAATGGAGTATGCCCATACTACAAGAAATACAAGACAAAAAATACAATAAAAGTTTTATGAAACACTCAATTTCCTGTGGAAATAAGAAAATAATAATGTTTAAAAAATTACATTTTACAGTCTTATTTTCACGCTCAGAGTTTTATCGTCTGCAATAGAACCTGCAGTGAGATTTCTTCAAATTTTAACAACTGGTTGTTATAATTTACAGCAGGATGTTGTTAATAAAATTCACATTAATTTTTAAATAAAATCAGGGGGTCTCCTTATTCGCTTAGGAGTAGGAGCCACTTGTATATATGTTACAGTTCAAAATTAATTTCAGGTTAAGATGTTTTAACCCTTATGGTTGATTCTCGATTTCCTTTGTCTCATACTCCTTATTATTCATGAACTTATAATCAATTCTTTATATTAATTCTTAATTTATAAAGTTTTATCATTTCCCTCGATTATCTACATAACTTTGATTCTGGCGCAAATAGCCCATATAGAGAATCACCTGTGATCCTCACAGAGGGAGAAAATCTGACAGAAAACTCCCAGTTAAATTATCAGCCTCAATTTATAGGAAATGGGATGTTTGGTAAAAAAAGCATGAGTGACTTGTGATAGAATGCTATAATTCCTTGAAACACTTCTAGAGAACACAAGAGACTCAACTGTAGTACTGTATAGGCACATGTTGTAGTTAATTATTTATTTCAGTTAATTATTTCCTTTTATTTTATTTTTTTCTAAATTTGTTTTTTGGGCATGGAAAATTATGTATGCTAATGGTTTTAAAACAAAGGAAAACAAAAAACTTACTGAAGTAAAAAATTAACTGCAACACACATATATCTTCCCCACTCTTCCCTTCAATGTAGGTTTGACAGGTTTGCTCGAACCTCATTACCTTATCAACACCAAGTGCCAGATCCAGACCTTGAGATAACACCAACATTGAAGAGGAAGAAGGCCAACAATCAACAAGCATTTCAGAAATTGTTATGAATGGGGTTGTAGATTTTTTTCTGATAATTTTTTTATATAATTATGCTTCTGAAATGAAGAGAGAATTTGACGTAATTTCACATCACGAGTC